TATCCTTCTGATGGGGCACTCAGGCATATCAGTTGTCAAAGTTCCTCCTCAAAGCCCAGAGCAAGGCGTTCTCTGCTGAAAGAACTTAATTTGGTTTCGCTTTCTGAATTGACACCAAGGAAAAGGAAATTATATGCACAAATTCGGAATAAGGAGAGTGCACTCTGCAAACTGAAAAAGAAATACAAAGGAAAGAAGTTGGAAAATATCTGTGATGTGGACAGTGATCCACTCATGGAGAGACTTTCATCTTCTCTCAGTGTAGAGGCTGCCAGATTATTGGCAGCAATTATTAGGAACAGCAGGCAGAGACCTCAGGTAAGGAGGTGGGATTTCAAAGAGAAAGTGTTGGCTCTGTCTCTCCTTAAGCGTAGTCCCAAATTCTATATCCTTCTCAGCACACTACTCCCCCTCCCATCCAGACGATCCTTGCAGTCTGTCCTCAATACTGTTCCATTTAGGACTGGCGTCAATGCTCATGTGTTTCCTGCACTCTAACAGTGTCTGCAGAAAATGTCTGGTAGAGATCGATATGGTTGTCTCATGTTTGATGAAATGTCAATCAGAGAGAACTTGCAGCATTGCAAAGCATGCTCTGCTCTTCATGATCCGTGGCCTGCGGAGAAAGTGGAAGCAGCCAGTGGCTTACTACTTTACTTGTGGAAGCACAAAGGCAGAGATGATCGTGCAATACTTGAAGGTGGTTCTTGACGCCTGTCAGAATGTTGGGCTGAAGTTGGTTGCCACTGTGTCTGACATGGGTGCCAACAATGTCAAGGCCTTGAAACTGTTGTGTGCTTCAAAAAGGAAACCACTCTTCAGATTTCGCGATCAAGACATTGCAACAGTGTATGATCCACCCCACCTCCTGAAGTGCACCCGGAACCTTTTCCAGAAATATGATGTGCAGTTGAAATCTGAGCATGTGGGCACCCAACTTCCTGTTATTGCTAAGTGGGACCACATATTGAAACTGTATGAAATCAACAAACCCGGACCATTTCGCCTGTTGTACAGGCTGACAGACACACATGGGTCTTCTTTATGTGTAGGTAAGAATGAAGAGGCATTACTTTATAACTGACTTGCAAAGTTCAGGTTATTCACCTCAGTGTGAAACTCTGAGAAGCAGAATCAGTATCAGGATTGAATGTGGGTAGGACTATTTATGTAATTTCACCCATTCCATTAAATATATCCAATACTGAAGTGGAAAGGTTTATATCTTTCCATTACTGACCTGGTATATGAATAGATACCAGATTGTCAGTATTCATTATATTTTTTTGTAAGATATGTTACTCTTGCCATATAAACCTTTCCATTACTGAACTGGAATATGAATGGATACCAGATTGTCAGTATTCATTATATTTTTTTGTAAGATATGTTACTCTTGCCATATAAACCTTTCCATTACTGAACTGGAATATGAATGGATACCAGATTGTCAGTATTCATTATATTTTTTTGTAAGATATGTTACTCTTGCCATATAAACCTTTCCATTACTGAACTGGAATATGAATGGATACCAGATTGTCAGTATTCATTATATTTTTTTGTAAGATATGTTACTCTTGCCATATAAACCTTTCCATTACTGAACTGGAATATGAATGGATACCAGATTGTCAGTATTCATTATATTTTTTTGTAAGATATGTTACTCTTGCCATATAAACCTTTCCATTACTGAACTGGAATATGAATGGATACCAGATTGTCAATATTCATTACATTTATTTAAGATATGTTATTATTTCTGCCATATTCTGCCCAGTACTTAACTAGTGAAGATGAATATATCACCTTTTCTTATATCTTTAAATGCATTCTTAATCTTGTTGCCAAGAGTGTATTTCACTTTCTCGAATTCCATCATTCTAATGAAAATAATAATAAATGGGAACGTGAGTATTGTTGCTTACCGTATTCATGTTTTATAATACTTAAATGTAACCAAAAAACTATGTTCTGTATGGCTTTCAAGTGAACGTTATGAGAAAATTATGAGGTTTAATATATGTATCTCTGATGGAAACAGAATTTTCTTTCAAGTTTCTCCACCTTCAGCTTTGTTTAATACAACTATTCCATGTTTGTCACAGTTCACAATATTCAGTGCCTTTGGTTAGAGAGGTGTTTCAGGTGAAAGAAAGGTTATGATTTTCCAGGCACTGGTGAGAAACTTTCTCCAGATAAATAATTTGCAACCTAATCTCTTGTACTCCAGAGCTGCACATACTCTTATTCTGTTATTTTTTTTTTTTGGAAAGGGAATGGGGGACCAAGTTTAATAGAAATTAACTCAAATCTGACCCAAAGGATATGGGTGAAGTGATATTGAACATCCTTATGGAGCTGAGCCCTTCTTGAGAAGCTGCCAATTGTGCAGACACTCAAGAATCTTCCAGCCTTTTGTAGAACCCGAAGGTTCATTACTGTGTTCACAAGAGTCCTCCACTGGTCCCTATCCAGAGCCAGGTCAGTCCAATCCATACCATACCATCCTATTTCACTAGGATACATTTTAATATTGTCCATCCACCTATGCCTTGGTCTTCCCAGTAGTCTCTTGCCTTATGATTTTCCCACCAGTATCCTATATGCATTCCTCGCCTCCCCCATTCGTGCTACATGCCCTGCCAACCTCATCCTCCTCGACTAGTGATATTCTGTGTTCAATATCACTAGTTGAGGAGAATGAGGTTGGCAGGGCATGTAGCAAAAATGGGGGAGGCGAGGAATGCATATAGGATATTGGTGGGAAAGTCAGAAGGAAAGAGGCTCTGCAGTACAAGAGATCTGGTTGTAAAAGAATTTACTGCTAGTAGCGAAAAAAAGCGTTCGAAGGGCTAGAGAGGGGGAAGACTGAAAATAGTTTGTAAAGTAGCATACCTTCTTACCGATTGTGCTCTCGGCCCAGGAGGCCTTTTTAAATTTAGTTCCTGCATAAGGCGTATAGATGGCAGCAGCATTGCACCGCGGTGTCATGGCGGCCATGTTGCCAAGCAATAAAATGGGAGTTTCAAGGGGCCTTGGGCGTAAAGAGGTTATGAAAACGTAAGAACTAAACGAACTCTTTAAATGAATACAGATACACTATTTATATAATTACAGCATTTTTGTATAGATTTTTTAACGGAAGTATTTCTTTTAGTGTTTTTATAATCTGTGCCACCCTCAGTGTCAGAAAACTATGGTGTGTTTGCGAACGAAACTTCGTTCTCATTAAGAATAACGTTCGTATTTCAATAAGTGGTATGTACTTTCGTATGTATGCATAAAAAAAATTGGTTACCAAAGTAGAGTTTCAAAACTTGTCTGTAATTCTGAGATCATCAGTGCGGGGAAAAACATGTCGTACACGTTAAGTTTGAACTACATACAGAACTGACCTTTGCTTTAAGTTCACAAAACACTGACATGTCTATTATTATGTTGTGACATAAGCTTCCATACACATATTTGCGAATGCAATATTTTGTCATTGTATTCCATTTTAAAATCAATAAAACCAACGCTATCAATGCAACTGGAGCTCTAATAAATTGTCAGGACGTTTGTTCCTCTCTGTTACCTCACTCTAGATGTTTTGACCCCAATCAGGAGTCATCTTCAGGGACATTATTTCTAGAATACTAAAGCACACTACTGGTTGTAATGTTCTTTGTTATTAAACTGTTTACATCCCATTCATCTTGAGCTACAATCTTTGAGAAACATGTAAAACACAGAAGTAGGGCAAATTGACATACTTCCTGCAACTTATGCTGAATAGGTAGAATGAAGCCCCTAAAAAGTCTTAAGGGGTCAAAATATGTTGATGTAACAAAAAGAAAAAGGACAAACTGACAGTATATTTGTTCAGTGGTGATGATATTTAATTGTGAAGAACTGTACTTCACTGGAGAAGTTATAGTTTCAGGAGCTAATAAAAGGTTACATTATCCCTGTGCTTATCTAATTAAGCACTATTCCATGAATATGTAAGGAGGAGTGAATATATAGACACACTAGGAGGAGATGTGAGGTCAGCTTTATGCCCTGGCTGCCCAGGGCATATAAATACAGGAGGAAACACACCGCATCTGCACTAGTAAAGACAATACCACACGCTAGGGATCTTATAAATTACAGATGGCAGTCATAACTGAAAAGTAGGCTATGAACGTGAGGGGCAAGCTACTGAAAAAACACCCTGGACATACATACGTTTATGAAAAATGGACGACACCCCATCTGATGTGAAAAAAAGAAAATGCATCAAAATAAGGTGGGTATAATAGAAACTATAAAGAATTTTATTTGGGTTTACCTTGAAAAGAGAACTACAGCATGTGATTTTAACAAGGACCAAGACAGTGTAGCAGTTTTAACATAATAAAATATAGTATGTGCCAAAATATGCAGTAATTAAACTCTCGCATCTCAAAAGTACATGTGCGTTTGTCGACGGGGCATAGCTCCAGCAGCATGTGTTCCCAGTAGTGAAAAGCAAGTTGTGTTGTGCAGTTGTTGTTGGAAATGGGTCTCTCGACGGAGGAAAAAGTATTCATAGTTGAGTATTATTTGCGCTCATAAGGAAGTGGTCGCCAGACATCTTGCTTCCTTGGTTTTGAGCGGCCAGATGTTATCGTTCAGAAACCACTACATAGTACACGTGTGATGATATGGTGTGCCGTCTCAGCACACGGTATATTAGGCCCCTATTTCATTGAGGATGAGGAAGGCAATCCTCTTACCATCACCCAGGAACACTACAGGGACATTGTGATCGGACCATTTCTTCAGGATTTGAGAAGGTTCTGTCGTGCAAGGGGCCTTCACATGAATAGACAGTGGTATCAACAGGATGACTTTCTATTTCAGGACTGATAATTTTGGAACATACTGTATTTGTAACATATCAAGACACCTGAAGATGGCTGTTTGGTGCAGAAACATGTAGTGTAAATGTTAAACTAAAATTAAAATTAAGTAGTGAATAAACAATATAATAAAATAATAAACAAGTTAAACAATTGCAACAGGAAGCTGAAATACAGAATTATAGTATACTAATTTGATAGTGTACAGAGTCTTAATACAGTTAATATGAAAAGAGGCTTTTTATGCAACACTTAGTCATCACTGAAATCAGTTGGCAAGTCTTTTCCTGGTACAGTTGGTCCTCAAGCAAAACTTGCAAAATATTTATTTATCAGAATGAAAACTGTTTTGAACAAAAGTTATAGAGAAATTTAAATTTTCCTTGAGTGTTACAGTTTTCATGGTAATTAACCTTTACTGTATGTGCACTGCAAAGATATTGTTGTTTTCATTATTAATTGTATATTTAGGTTCATATTGTGAAATTTATCATTGTGTCTGGTGTTTTCGTTTTGTTATTTTTATGTGGTTTAATTTAATTCAAGATTGTGATAAGAAAAAAGATAAAGCTATTCCCATACTTAATTACATAATTAGGCACTATACCATGAAGGCACATGGGGGAGTGGAGGTACATACAAGTACAGCTCCACCATCCCTGATGTGGTCATTATGTGGCAGTGAGTGGTCAGTTTTATGCTGCTGCCTCTTTACACCATGAATAGAGCCCCTGGTACCCTTTGGATAGGAGGGTGGGTGGGTCCCAGAGACAAGGAGAGAAAAGTATCTTTCCCCTTTGGGGATTCAGACCCAAGTTATCAAGCCCATAGCCTGGTCAGTATGCCAAGTGAACTGTCTCTGCTCCTTAGAACTGTATTAAATATGTATTTATGGCTCAAACAGTCAAATACCAACATATACAAGCAGCACTAGCTGAGGTGGTTTTTTGTAGTGCGGCAGATGCTCTGATTAAATCAGAACATCACTGAATGCCACAGATAAATTTGTAGCAGCCATTCTTCATGTTCGGGGGGCCCAGGTTCAAATCTTGTCTTTGAAATCAGCTATCCTGTGTGATGAAGTTAACAGTTTTCCTTAGTCCCATCCAGGCAGCTGGCAGGATAATAGTACCACAAATCAGGACATGACTGTTTCTTTCCACATCATTTCCAATTTAGTATCCACTGATCATCTTACCAATCAACACTCTGTAGCAGATGTGGCCAAACTGTAGTTTGCAAACTGCACATGGCTCTTTGGACCCATAAATGTTGCTTGTGGAAAAGATTTTAGTCAGTCCTTTTTTGCAAATGAAGCATTTGCTGTGTGGAAAGAACATCTTTGCTATCCAGTCTACATCTATCTGCAGCTCAGTTCAGTAAGTTTGCTCACCCCCACTATATAGTGTGAGCTGCTGACAGCATGATTAAGTAAACCATAAAACAGACCAGTAATAGTAACAATTATAAAAATATAAAACCACAACTTTGCCACTCACATGTGGAAAGCAGTGACATGATTGTTGTATTGCATGTTCTTTTGTTCATAGATTGAATGATAAATGAGGGTAACATTTTGATGTCCAGACCTCTGCAAATGAGTGAGCAGGGCATGCAGGCCGCGTTGCAGCCAGCAAGTGTTTCCGTCTTCATATAGCCTGGGCATACAAACACGAATTAGAAGATAACATGGTGCCAGAGATTCAGCGTATTAACTTGGGCAATGCTGTTTAAAGGCTCTAGGAATTGGTGACCATGTACATTTTCTCCTTTTTGGATCCTCCACCTCATTAGACACTGGTGAGAAAACTGTTCTAACACTGATTTATTAACAAATTGGTGAGAATGAGATGTGGATGGCATATACATCCTTACAGGTGTAATTTTCTTTGCTGTATGTTAGTTTGAAGGAAACTGACCACAATAATATTACTGGTCTAACCAATGATGTAAGTCTCAGGAAGGTAAACTGTTACTCTGCTTATGAGTTATACTATACTGAGGCGACAGGAGGAGGTCTCATGTTTGGCAGAGATGACGCTGCTCGAAGCATCCCAATATCTTCCTGCTGTTCAGTTCCTCTCCAACTCCACAGCTGCTTGTTTTGTCTTTCTTCTTTTATGTGAGTACTTTACAACAGTCAGTAACTTGACTGTATAGCATGGAATGGTAGGATGACTGGTGAATGATGAATTGGAAAGGATCTGGAAAGAAGCAGCCTGACCTCCGATGAGGTACTGTCTCAGCATGTGTTTGGGAGGACTGAGGAAAACCATGAAGAACCTGTCAGGATAGGTGGTGTCATGGATGAGATTTCAACTGAGCTCCTTGTGAATACGGTCTACAGCGTTAGCGATGTGTGAACCCATTCGATTCCAATACACTTGTCATTAGTGAAGTTATCCCTTCCAACTTTGCAGTGAACAAAATGGCTAGAAGACTGGAGGTGAGTATGTGAAGTGTGCTGCTGGAAGGTGAAGCATACCAGCTCAAGGGAGATGCGGAGGGCGGTCAAGCTATGTGACTACTTTCTTTCCTTGGTCTCAGTATAATAACTTTATCTTCCAGTACTTACCATCTGATAGTTTCAGGATAGGAAGAAAGTACATAATTTCCTGGCTTTGCACAGTGTTCCGGGAAAGACTTTAAATAAGATCGCTATCAGCTGAAGGCAAGATGTTACTTTATGATTTTACAGAGTAAAAGCTTGGACAGCAGCTTGTGTTTTATACCCCTCATACGCAGTATTACAGAAGTAGAGCTCAGACCCTGATGATCAAATAAATCATTTGCAGTTTCTGTGTTGAGAGTGTAGGAATGTTGTAATATTGAGATATAACACTTTGTGAACTCTGGGTGATATAAAATTTTAAAGTTTGAATGTGCTACTTTAACATGACTGTAATAGAAAAATAATTTTTAACCTATATTGGTTGGGAGGAAGGGATTTCAAATCTCCCAGAGCTGTAAGGCAAGTCACCGTATTTTACTAGCGGTAATGATATTTATAAACATACAGTGCACTGCTCAGCTAGCTGGATTGCATGCATCTCTTCGGTAATGCAGCATTCATCTTGTAGAGGTCAGTCTGGCAGAAGGGAACATGAATTATAATTTATACCACATACTGTGGAGTGTGTTATTTTCCCCAGAATGTTCTGCTTTATGGCAGGTATTGGCATTACAGCAGTTACATGCACTTGGGCCACTCAACCATCATGGAGAACTAACAAAACTGGGCCATCGAATGGCTGAATTTCCTGTTGATCCCGTGATGGCAAAAATGATCCTTGCATCAGAAAAGTAAGTTACTTGATATGCCAGTATGCAGTTAACAGTTCTAATTCATATTCTGCTCCTATTTTTGCTATAAGCACTTAGAAGTCTTAGTACAGGCATGTCAAACTCAACTTGTACAGAGGGCCACCTCAGCCCTATAAATAATAGTCCAGGGCCGCACTTCAAAATAGAAATATACTGTCGTATCCCGAGCTGAAGGTCTTGGGCCCTTGACCAGGCAGCTGGAATACTCACCTACAGATGAGCCGAGTGGATGCTGATCTGCTCAGGTTGCCGTGGAGCGCTGGATAAGG